TTTTGGCCATATTTGCTCAATGTGTAAAAAATTAAGCCTGCACTTTTGCGCCAATCAATTGTCATTCTTCAACTTTTGTGCTTTTTGTACCTGAAAAATCTGCCATGTAAATTACGATAAAATTTCAAACATTATTTTGTCAGCTCGTTTTTTTTTTTGCGATATGTAATTTGCGATATCCGCCAAAAGAAAAAATATTGTTCGGCCGACCGGCGAAATGCTGATAGCGCTGTCCTGAAGCGTGGTGCTATTCTTGCAGGAACATTTTGTTCTGGTATTGTTTAGTCCAAATCACGTCTCGAGCGTCTTAGTGTTTCGCGGGTTGGATGTTCAGTTTTCGATGGACCAAAAATTCTTAATTGCAGCAGCTTAAATTCTGTGACACTTTTAACACAATTTTGTGCTTCTTGGGTTAAATTAAATTCTTGTTTACAAGATTTTCTTCTATCTTCCTCAGTCTTGACGATTCCAGCACATCCCCAAGGCAAAAGCGGACTTTTTCCTCCCTGATTAGGAAGTCGAAACGAAAACAACAAAGCTAGACAAGAATGCTTGGTTCGGTTGATTTCACAAATTTCGAGAATCGTGCAGTCCGTACGTTTTTGGCAGAAATTGAAAAAACAAAAACTTTGAAAAGTTAATTTCTAATTTCCCCCTCAAAACTTAACTGAAAAAAGTTTGTCTGTCCTTTTGTCTGGCCAGTGCAACAGTTTAAAATATTTCTTATCCCGGAGTCTTTTCAAAACGACTCGCCGTTTCAATCCTGAACAAAATGCGCAGAACAAAATCAGCGTTGCCAGAAATACAGTTATGTACTGTTACTAACGGTACAGCAAACCCAGTTCTGATCGATATGAATTTGAGCATCGTCTTTCAAACGCAAGCTGTCGAAATCTTTACAGCATAAAATTTGTACGAATTTTTTTTTTCAACGAATGAAATACTTTTTGGATTAAAAAACTTGAAAAGTATTTTACTTATTGAAAAACTGAATGACGAAGTGCGAGGCTTTGTTGTGTTCGGCATGTGCAATTTCGCGCTCACGGTACAATCTGTAAGGAGTGATGTCGACGTGAGATCTGTTGACGTAAAATAGGCATTTCTACAAAATTCAACCGGAGGATACTCGTACAACTTTTAAGAAATTTAAAAACCGTTTTCGTTAATCTGTTAACACTTTAACGACAATTATCTATACAGTGACAAACACAGCACCGAAGTCCGATTCTAAGCAAACATCGGGGACTCAGGGGCCCTAGGATCTCCTGTTTTCGTTGCTTTTCTCCAGTAGACACTTGCCGTTTGTACAGTGAACTATCTAGAGCAATTTCGAGAATGCTGGCACATGGATTGATTATTCATTTGGTCACTGCTAAGGGGCACTCCGAGCAGCCTTCTCCATGCCCTCTATCTATTGACCATTTACCAAGCCCATCCTAAAAATTGCTCTAGGCATTTGGTGTTGTAATGATGTTACTGGAATGCGTCCATGCTCAGCTATGCTTTGCTTTGCTCCTGGACTACTTGCATCTATTTAGCACTATTTGTGCGCCATCTCTTCCGAGGTTATCGGAAGTAGTCGTTTATTTTCTCGCGATATTTGACGTACACCAGTTTCCGTCAAAGCAAGCAACACGCCTGCCTATTGAATTTTACTTCCTTGCTTGGTCACAACGATATCCTGCACAGACAATTTGATTGTTTAAAGGGGTATGAAGAGACATACCAAGCATCCTTCGCTCCATCGCTCTCTCCGTTACAACTTGCGTTCGCTTCTGCTTTTGTCAGTAACTGCCATTCGCTTCCGTACGTCACTGCAGTCAGAACAGTGCTACTGAAGAGCTCGACGCTTCCGGTTCAACTTTTGAGGTCGTCGATGACTATGTGAAACTTGCGTTAACTGGCAGTCTTTTTATGTGCAAATTTTTAACTAAATTATCTGACATATAGTGACTTCTTTGTAAAATGGATGGGGACTGTCAACTTCTTCCAAATCAACAACACCCATTATTAATCTAGACGCCGGTTATAGGCAGATCCAAGGCGATCTCCACGAGGGCGAGGGGGGGAGCCATTTTTCACCTCCCCTTCTCCCTTCGCCACTACACCCCCTCGGCTAGTTCACAACCCACTCCCCTCGATCGTCGCACTAACCCTCCCCTCCCCCCTCTCTCTCGGCCGCCCCCCTACCTCTCGAAGGTCGCGCTGGAACCCCTCCCCCCTTCCTTCTGCTCGTCGCTACCCTCAACAGCCTGTCACTTGCCCCTTCCACGTTTTTACTGACGGTCACTAAATTGTAAGTAGCAGGGCTCATAGGACGGGGCGTGGAGGGGGGAGGGGGATTACAGGCAATACCGAATACATCTTTGTACAGTAAAACAACTACTACCCGAGTCCCTTTGCACCTACCCCCTCCCCTGGATCTGTCGATGACGCCGGTATCACTGGACTTTGTGTCATCCTCATTTTCGATGCGTTGATTTTCAGGCCCACTTCCTTATTGTTTAGCATGTTAAAAACCTATAGACTATTTTTTCTACAGCTACAATGTATAATGAACATATGCATGGATCACACAATCTGACATGTCTGATAATTTCTATGGGAAATCCTCGAAACTTTCCATCGGGCCGTTAAGCTAGCCATGTTGCGCAAAGGTACACCCTCGGGCGATTTCCAGCTATAACTGCTCGGTGTGCGTCCCACAACGACTGATTCCGTTCTGTTGTAGCTAAAAAAAGGCA